ACGTCGGGGCTGGGGTCCAGCAGCTCCCACGCCTCGTCCACCACCGACAGCGGGCGGAGGGACGAGCGGTGAGGAGAGACATCAGGGCGCTCTGCTACGGCTGCTGCCGCCGCTGCCTCGTTCTGCTCTTCCCACTCCTTCTGGAGCCTGAGCGCAAACAAGAAATCCTCGTCCTCCATCCCGAGCGCAGCTCCCACCGACCGCCAGCGCCGCAGCCGGACCGCCCATCAGCCACCGCGGCGCAGGCGCAGCACCGACCCACGGCCCGCAGCAGCCGTCGCGTCCTTCCGGCAGCGTCTCCTCCGCCCCTTCCTTTCCTTCCCTTCCCTTTCCTTCCCTTGTTTCCTTCCTTCCCTTCCCTTCCCTCCGCCTCTTCCTTCCCTTCCCTCCGCCCCCGCCCCGCCCGGCGCGGTCCCACCGTGTCACCGCCGGGCCGTGGGGCGCAGGCGCGGTGTCCCCGGCGGCAGCGGCGGAGCGGGTACCGGGCGGCGGCGGCTCCGGCTCCGGTGCGGACATGGCGCTGTCGCTGGGCGAGGGCGGCGGCGGGAGCCGGCTGCGGCGGCAGCTGGAGTCGGGCGGCTTCGCGGCGGGGGAGTACGTGAAGCAGCTGTCGCAGCAGTCGGACGGGGACCGGGACCTGCAGGAGCACCGGCAGCGCATCCAGGCGCTGAGCGAGGAGACGGCGCAGAGCCTGAAGCGCAACGTCTACCAAAACTACCGGCAGTTCATCGAGACGGCGCGGGAGATCAGCTACCTGGAGAGCGAGATGTACCAGCTCAGCCACATCCTCACCGAGCAGAAGGGCATCATGGAGGCCGTCACCCAGGCCCTGCTCCTCCAGGCCGACCGCGACGACCCCGCCCTGGGCGCCCGCCGCGCCGCCGCCGCCGACCCCTTCCTGCCGCTGTCGGCCAAGGATGCGGCGGCCAACGAGGAGGGGCGGCAGCGCACTCTCACCACCCTCCTGGAGAAGGTGGAGGGCTGCCGCGACCTCCTGCCCGAGAGCCCCGGCAAGTACCTGGTGTACAACGGCGACCTGGTGGAGTACGATGCGGACCACATGGCGCAGATCCAGCGGGTGCACGCCTTCCTCATGAACGACTGCCTGCTGGTGGCCACCGCCCTGCCCAACCGGCGCGGTGCCTACCGCTACGACGCCCTGTACCCCCTCGACGGGCTGGCCGTGGTCAACGTCAAGGACAACCCGCCTATGAAGGACATGTTCAAGCTGCTCATGTTCCCCGAGAGCCGCATCTTCCAGGCTGAGAACGCCAAGATCAAGAAGGAGTGGCTGGAGGTGCTGGAGGAGACCAAGCGCAGCCGTGCCCTCAGCGAGAAGCGGCGCCTGGAGCAGGAGGCCCTGCCCCGGCCCGCCCCGGCGCCCCCCGAATCCACCAACCCCTTCGACGAGGATGAGGACGAGGAGGAGGAGGATGAGCCCTCCGCTGAGGAGGAGGTTGTTGACCTCTCGCTTGAGTGGATCCAGGAGCTGCCCGAGGACCTGGACGTCTGCATCGCTCAGCGGGACTTCGAGGGGGCGGTGGACCTCTTGGATAAACTGAACGAGTACCTGGCGGACAAGCCCGTGAGCCAGCCCGTGAAGGAGCTGCGGGCCAAGGTGGACGAGCGCGTCCGGCAGCTCACGGACGTGCTGGTGTTCGAGCTGTCCCCGGACCGCTCGCTGCGGGGAGGCCCGCGGGCCACCCGCCGAGCCGTGTCCCAGCTCATTCGCCTGGGCCAGTCCACCAAGGCCTGCGAGCTGTTCCTGAAGAACCGGGCGGCCGCCGTGCAGACGGCCATCCGGCAGCTGCGCATCGAGGGCGCCACGCTGCTCTACATCCACAAGCTCTGCCATGTCTTCTTCACCAGCCTCCTGGAGACGGCCAGGGAGTTTGAGACGGACTTCGCCGGCAACAACGGCTGCTACTCGGCCTTTGTTGTCTGGGCCCGCTCGTCCATGAGGATGTTTGTGGATGCCTTCAGTAAGCAAGTGTTCGATAGCAAAGAGAGTTTGTCAACTGCGGCAGAGTGTGTCAAGGTAAGAGAGTCCAAAGGGTGGGGTGGTGGGGCACAACAGCTCAAACAAAGGCTTCAAAGCTTTAAATTATCTTTTCTAACTCTGGTTTAGTTGTTGACTCTAGTGTGGGTCTCCAGAGAGGTTTCCTGCCTTGAAAGGTTAATATTCATTCGAGGTTTGTTTGGCTTTTTTCAGTTTGACAGAGGAAAGCCTTAAGGTTGTAATATACGGCAAGAAAAAAGCCCTGCCTTTATCAGGAATGCAAAATGTGTTGATTCTTAATTTGCCTTTAACTAGTAGGAGGTCCTAAAATTTAATAAGCTACAACTGAATTGTAAGTACTTCAAAACTTTCTCTTTGTTTTCCAAGGCTGTCCTTAGCTACATTTTCATACCTTTTTTGCAAGACTGATTTTCTCAGGTTATGCTTTCTTTCAGCTGCAAATTGGAAGGGAAAAAAAAAAAAAAAAAAGCTTATGTTTGAGTGGGTTATAGTGTAATTGTCCAGAGTATTTTTGACAGCCAGGGTGTGTCTTTCAGTTACTAATTTCCCATTAATGAGATTCTTAAAAGCATGAGAAACAAGTCTGAGTAACACTTCTCAGCTTTCTGAGATAAACTTGGTAAAAATGTAAAGGGAGCTTGCACAGTAATAACATCCTTTGCTTTTCTTTGTTATCCCAGGTAGCTAAAGAGCACTGCAAGCAGCTGAGCGAGATTGGACTGGATCTCACCTTCATCATTCATGCCCTCCTGGTAAAGGATATCAAAGGTGCTTTACAGAGCTACAAGGATATCATCATCGAGGCCACCAAGCACCGCAACTCTGAGGAGATGTGGAGAAAGATGAACCTGATGACTCCAGAGGCGCTGGGGAAGCTCAGGGAGGAGATGAGGAGCTGTGGGGTGGGCAATTTTGACCAATACACGGGTGATGACTGCTGGGTCAACCTCAGTTACACTGTAGTAGCTTTCACTAAGCAGACTATGGCCTTCTTGGAGGAAGCCTTAAAGCTTTACTTTCCAGAGCTGCATATGGTTCTTCTGGAGAGTCTTGTGGAAATCATCCTGGTGGCTGTCCAGCATGTTGATTACAGTTTACGGTGTGAGCAGGACCCTGAGAAAAAAACATTCATTAGGCAGAATGCCTCTTTCCTGTATGAAACTGTCCTTCCTGTTGTGGAAAAAAGGTTTGAGGAAGGGGTTGGAAAGCCAGCCAAGCAGCTACAGGATCTGAGAAATGCCTCGAGACTGATGCGTGTAAATCCGGAAAGTACCACCTCTGTGGTGTGAAGTGAACCTGTTCCTGGGAACAAGGTGGCAGCACTTACTGAAGATGTTGTACATTGAACAGATGAACTAAGCAGGGGTTTTTTTGAGTCCCTGAAAGATGCGGAACTCTGCTGCATTCCAGAAGCTGAAGACTTTGAATCAATGCCTGCAAGCATGCAATGCTTTACTTGGTGGATGGGGTGTAGGGAAGTGATAAGGTGGAGGTCACATGTCCTTGGACAGCGTATCCTGTACGAAGGGTTTGTGTAGTATTTGTGACTTGGGGAATTACTGTAATACACAGATTTTGGCCAATTGTTTGTGAAAGTCTTACATACGTCTGCAGCAGATGGCAGGAAAAGATAAATTCTCATCATGTTACTGTAGCAATTTTTTTTTAAGGCAGTGTTCTGGGGAAGTGCTGAAGCATTCCCAGGGTGTGGTATTCAGTAAGGCACATCCACCAGATGTGACTCAGCACTGCAGCTAAATGACATGGATTTGCACAGTGTGATTTTTGTGGTAGCAGTGCAGACTTTTCTTCAACATTGAGATTATTTTCATTCATTTCAGAGGCAGATTGAAATAAAAATGTTTATACAGTTTTTGGTGTTGGGGTGAAGGGGCTTCTTCTGTTTAATAAGCTGGCCTGTCAGCCTAAATTACAGCTGTCTGAAAACAAACCTGCTGTCAGAACCATTTGTTCCCTTCAAGAGAAGTGAGAATAAATTGCTTCCCTTCCTCTTTATGTTCCTCTTCCATATTTTCTCATGGATCTAATTGGGGTCATGTCCGTGGAGTGAAGTGTGCACTGTTGCTTGAGATGTTGTCACAAATGCATCATGGGCTGTTGTCTCCTGGCTGGAACCATAGTGAAGAGGCATACATGCCCTTGAGACATGCAGGGCAAGGAGAGGGACTGAAGGGACTGTTTCATTTGGAAGAAATGGAATGCTAGCTTCACTGTACAGAAGCAGCAGCTGGTGAAGAGACTGTGAGGCTTTTGGTAAGAGATGTGAACTTTGAAATATACACTGTCTCCTGCAAGAACTAGCATAATTTCCTGTAATACAGCAATAAGCAAGAACAACTATCTTTTTTTGCAGAAAACACAAGGATTTCGATGGCAATTTTAATGTTGATGGGGAAAGTTTATACAAATCCTCTTATGTTTGGACTGAACGGTGTTGGCTGTCTCATGCAGTAAACGTCTGAAAATAAAATAAGCCAAGTCTTGTGTCAAGGCTGGCTTTGGAAAGCTGTCAGCTTCAACTTCTAAGCTGTGCAAACTTCTTCTGCTTCTGTGCAAACTTTCTTAGTTGTGAGAAAATCATGTTACAGCTAAGGAACCTTGTATTAGTCCCTCAAAAAGTGTCCTTAACTGGAATAACTAAATATCCTGTTCCTGTAAGGCTTTCAAATTAAAGCTTTTGCAGTTTGTATCATGGTAATGAATGCCTTGTGACTGCCTGAACAAACAAAAGGTTTCACTGGTAAAACATTCTGCATAACTGTTAGACTGAAGTTTCTTAATTTCTCCCTCTTTTCATAGTGCTAGTTCAATGCAGTTTTCGCTTCAGTGGCTGGGTTTTGTTCTCTTGCTCTTTGGATGCCTTTTGAACTGTCAGGTTTTGAAAAGCATCCTAATTGTCTCTGCTCACTTGCTTTTCAGTGTTTGGGCCTTTTGCTAGCAACTCACAAAAAAAGTCCTACAAAATGTTTTTAAAGGGTAACTTGTTGCTCCCAACTTACATTGACTGAAAACCAGTGAAACAGCTCTACTTTTATTTTAAGGGACAGGGACAGTAAGTTAGAACTTGTGCAACATGTTCTGTCAAGGGGAGAGAGAGTCCTATTGGTGTTATTTCAGTAGGGAACTCTTTGATATCAGAACCTAGTGAAGTATAGCAAAGTAATATAATCTCTGTCATCTGTTTAAAGTGGGAGAGATGTCAGCCTAATCTGAAAAATACTTTTAAGTGAATTAGAAATGAGAGTTCTCTATGGTGATGGGTATTTTGGATGAGAGGGGAAGAGATAGCTTTTTTTTTCCTGTGAACACAGGTATATTTATCTTTTTTTTCTAACATCAGAAGAAAGCAGAATAAATACAGATGAGCCTTATCTTCATGTGTGTATGTGTTTGCAAGAGAAGGATTAGATCTGGAACTCTAGACTGATTATTGTGATACTTGGGGATTTTATGCAAGAAGCTGAATTGTAGTTTCCCAATTCCCAAGCATTAACGTGATGCTGAAAAGGAGGAAAGCCCTGATCATGCTTCTGTTGTGAGCTGGTGTAGCACAGCTTGCCCTCATCAGAGGATCAAATTTGGAGTGTAATTCTGCCACATGCTCTGTTATGCCTCTGTCACTGAGCCCTTCATCAATCTGTTTATGGCGCACTGAGCCTACTGATTTTGTCTCTGCTGTCATCCCTGGAGCAGTGGGTTTATGTTGATATCGGTTTTAATGCATCAGGGAATCTGGCTTTTCATTTGGGTCATCAAAAGTCATGTTCTTGTACCTGTCACAATTCAAACAGGTGTGGATTTGTATAAACTGCTATAAGTGGCACTGATACTTTGTAACTTGTGAATCTATTAGAGTCAAAACAAAAGAAAAGCAGTAACAAAGAAAATGGTGTGGAATGAATCTGAACACACTTTTATGTTAACTTAGTTAACAGAGAAAAATGAGTGTATGCTGAGTCATAGTTTAATAAATTTCAGTTTTGGAATTGCACTTTCCTTTTCCTGAGCTGTACACTTGTGGCAATAGTGTTGTACAAGTTGGGATTTGCAGTAACTACTGAATAATATGATAATAGTTCTGCTGATTTGAGAAAGAACTAATACTGGGTTTTTTTGAGACAACTGTATATAAAATCTGGTTTCCTCTAGCTACTGTGACAAAATTGTGTACAATAATTTCTTCTTTAAAATTCAGATAAATGTATGTATTAGAATTTAATGCAATAACTTTTCTGAACAGTGAAGACCATGCATTAAAACTTTTGGACATACAGCACTAGTGGTGTATCTGTTTTGATCATCAGAAAGAGGATTTTGGTTTGAAGTTTGACTTCCAGTGAAGTCAGAGAGCTTCAGGTCAGTCCCTTGTGAGGGAGAGGTGAGCACAACTCTGTGTCCAAGGTGACGCTGGAAGAAAATGTTGGACGCAGAGGAGAGGCTGTACTCTCGTCTGATGGGACTTTGGGGGTGTGTGTGTGATGGATTATCAACACCAAGGCAGCATAATGCTAAAAGGGTTTGTTGTCTTCCGGACTTTTTTGTGTCTGGAGTCCACCCACTCTTACCTTGGATGCTGAATGTGTAGTACAGGCTGTGCCCTCACTAGGTGGAGCTTTGTGCACTGAAACCTCAGCAGGCTGTGAGCAGACTGAGCTGTGAGCTGTGCTGCCCTGCAGTGCGGCTTGGCAGGTTTTGGGTAGCATGCTGGGGGAAGAACATGCTGCAGAGAATGATCCAGATGTTAGGTTCAGGTCGTTTTCATTCCATGGTAGTGGTTGGGTTCTGCATTTTCTGATTCTTGTACTGTTGGTTTTTAAGTTCTTCATGTTTTCCTGAGGTGTTTCTGTACTGTTGGCATGCATCCTTCAGAATATTTCACCTTTCTGCTTTTCTTCCAGGTAGGTACCAACATGTGACTTGTGTTCTGCCTGAGAAACACTGCTACACCTCGAGCCCCCGCAGAGATGTGAAAAGTTGCTTGTCCCAGCTGCAGTTTTATGTCTCATGTAAGAAGTTCAGATTAGTGACTTCTCAAAGTCAAGTTTGTGTGACCTCTGGTCACTTTACTTCAGTATTGGACTGAAATTCCCGTGTAACTTCATGCTCACAGCGCAGATTTGCACTCCAGCACGGTAACATAGAAAGTCCCCACCACCTATTGTAACTTACAGGCTCTTGGTATTCCTTTTGCTGCCCAAGTGTTTCAATTTAACTGGGTTACCTTTTACTTAAAAATATTAGTAGTTTTGCAGGCTCTTTAGTCTATTTTCTCTAATGAATATCAAATCTGGCATGGGGCTTATCTGTCAAGCAGCTTTGTGACCACAGACATATTTTTCCCCACAGGTTCAGGAATTGTGATACACCTTCAATCCCTACAAAGTCTGAGGGATAGTGTGGAGAGAAACACCTCAAACTGTAGGGAAAATAGATTTATGTCATTTACCACTTCAAGGGATGTTGGCTGGAGTAATAGACCAGAATTTGATTGAGCTACCTTGGACACAGAGTTGTTACTTCTCATGTATTTAGGAAACTTGGCTTATAAGGCTTCAGCAGCCTCAACATGTCCTGTAATAAATTCTCAATTTCAGGGTTACTCACTGAGCTAGATTACCTCCTGCAGATGTGCTCGGTTTGACACAGCAGAGATAAAGTACGGGCAAGGGACCTGGCCTGTGCTGACCACTGAGCAGTAGTACCCTTCCCGGGGCTTCACGTGGCTGATCAGGGCAGTTTCAAAGTAATTTTAGATCACCCACCTGAGGCCCTGCGGTATTTATTCTGTCTCCCTCCCCATGCAGTAGCCGCATTCCTTTCGATGGGCAGAGCATCCCACATCCCACCCGAGTGGGAGGATGAAGAGGAGCAGCTCCCCAAATTCCTTGAAGCGAGCTGCGGTGGCACAGCGCCACCAGCGGGGGTCCTGCGGGAGCTGTGCGGATTGGGGAGCGCAGACGCCCCCTGCAAGAGGGCACTATTGCTGGGATGAATTCCATCTGCTCCCACCATCCGCTGCCAGACAAAGCTGGTACAAAAACTGAGAGATTGGTCTCTTGGTGTCAAGGCAGGAGCTGGACCCTGAGGCATCGTCTTAGATTGCCCAAAATACGATGTGGCCCTCCAGCTGTTGGGAATCTGGTTCAGATGTGCTAATAATATCTTGGCATGTGATTAGTGAATGCAATGCACTAGGAAGGTGGACCAGGAAAAAGAGCAGGTAGCATTAACTTCACTGCTGCTTGGGAAAACCTTGGAGATGCTTGAATTGATGATGCTTTCAAGTTATTTAAAAAAAATAAAATTAAAAGCATACAGCTCTTTATCTAATTGCACCAAGATGCACAGTTCTTCCTCTGTCCTTCCAGAAACTGACTCAAAAAAAATCAGAAGTCTCATGAAGGTAAGAGAGAGTGAGCCAAATCCACTGTGATACAAGGCATGTGATTCTAAACACTGCAAATTTTGGCAAAATTAAGATCTGAACTTCAGACATTCTCCAAACTGACAAAACTTTGCCTCACTCTTCCAGATTTCTGGACTTTGAGTTCTCCGGGCTTTAAGTCATTCCTACTGTTATTAAAAACCACAATTCACAGACAATAATCTG